CCTCGATTTGAAAGGAAGGATCTCAGTCAAGCATGTCTCTGTCATGCGCGGCCAGTCAAACGCCGCCACCGAAGCCTCGCCTCCCAGGTCACCGCCGCCTCCGTCTGGTGGGGCCACACTCAGTCCTTGGCCCTGCGGGGGCGGCTCCCTTTCTCCACTGACAGGCAGCTCTCGGGTGGCTGTTGAAGAGCAGCAGGTGGCTCGCCTGCCGGGGGCCGCCTCCCACTCCAGCACCGGCTCCAGTGGCTGCTTGCCAGGGTGGCCACGTCGGGCCTCGCTGTCAAGGCGCTGCAACAGCTGCCGCATTGAAGGCAAGAGGCTCTGCCAGGCCCAGCCGGCCAGTGCAGAGGTGCTGCTGAAGGAAGTTGCGAGGCTGGGTGAGCGTTGCTGCCGCCCCACAGGCTCCTCCAGGAACAGGGACGGGGCGTGGGGTGGCATCGTCATCCTGGCACCGGGAGGCTGAGCCCGGCCCGGGCCGTCGTTACGGCTACGCCCGCCCCCCTCCACTGCGATCTACCTCTCTGGGCACTGGAAGGAGAGGCTCCTCTTGGCTGCTGCGCTCCAGAGACTTGACCCGGCCTCGCCCTCTACCATGCCGCCACTGCCTTGGCTGCCATACGCCGCCGCCCGGGGCCCATCGCCGGCTGCCCTCCACTGTGGCTCAGTTGCAGCCAGGCTGGAGAAGGGGGCAGGAAGGGGGCAATCGGGCAGCCGGGGACCCCCCTCTGGGTGGAGGAGGAGGCGGGAAGAGGGTTAGGGTCGCATCCTCATTATCCCCAGGATTTTCATTTTTACCCCATTTGGGGTAATTGACCCCTGTTCCCTGACCACTGGTTTAGTAAGTCACAACTAGGGTACTCTATACTCTAGTTGCAATTTGCTATGCTAAACAACAGGATTTCAGCCATGAAGTGAGGTCTGTTCACTCTGTTTTTGTTTCCTTGTCTTTTTTTTGATGAGAGTCTAATATAGATGGGAAAGTAAGCAACTTACCTTGTCTTTCAACTATATTTGTATTTGTTGGTCTACACTTCTGGGTAGGAAAGCTGCTGGTGGGCGTGGGGACCCAGAGTCTTGGGACAGTGGATAGCTCGTGAATACTGTTTGGTGTCGGCTATAAAAATATGGGTCTGAATCCCAGCTTCAGTTCTATGTTGCCTAATGAAATCTGGGATCATAGCTTACTCTTGGCTTCTGATCTCCATGAGTGAAAATGAAGTCTCTCATGACCTGCTTCAAAGAAGGTGGAAGGAGTGAGTGAGATAAAGGCTGTCAGGAACTGGAATGATTGATACCGCTATTCAACAGTGTGCCTTGTGCAACTGCTAATACTTGACCTGTTTTCCCACGCTATCATGACATAGCCTTAGCAATACTGTAGAAATTTGCATTAGATCAAAAAGTAAGAGCTTGAGCCTCTTTAAAAAGTAATCTCAGCATTCCCTACATAGAGCTGAGAATCCTGTAATTTAGTGTGTCTGTTATTTGGCGATCAGGTGGTTTGTGTTAATTATAGGCCTCATGTATTCTGCAGCGATAGAAAAATACTACAGCAAAGGCACTGTGGTTATGTGATAAATCTCATCAACATAATATGACACAAGAATAAAGCTGGATAAGTTTTAGATCATTTTTGCTTTGATTCAAGGACTGTAGATACCAGAAGTCTTTATTCTGTAGTGTTTTGCTGCTCTGCTTTCTCTAATGCCAGGTACCAGTGTCATGTCAAATGGGCTAAAAGCCTGATGCAGGAGGAAGGACTGGATGACAGCACGATTAACACAATCCTTGTAAATTATAATGAGCCACTTAACTTGAGAGAAGAAGCTGCACAAAATAGTCAGGATGAAAAAACATCAGAAGTGGAAACTTCTGGAGATGAGCCAAAGCCTATTGTGACTTCTCTAGGAATGAACGGGGATACGGTAGCCCATCTTTATGACCCACCTTCCAGTTGCGGTGCTTTTGAATCTAATGTAATAGGATCTGAAACTGTAGATGAAACTCATTTGGAAAAACAGTGTCCACTTGAAACTCATTGTGGCTTGAAGCAAGACAGTCTTACTGAACAAGAATCTTACTTTTCAATTGATAAAGAATATTATCATGAATATGTATTGGTTGAAGAAGAGGAATCAAATCTGGGCCCAGAAGCAGATGGAGGAAGTGAGAAGTCACATGTAAGTATCACATTAGTTTGGGTTGTGGTGGTTTTCCTGTAGTGGTTGATGGAGTTGTATTTTATAAAACAGATTTTAAAATAGATAAACTCAGTAGTTTTGTGGACATATAGTAATTCACAGAAATAGCAGGAAGTTTCAGAAACCCTACACCTGATTTATATCAGCAAGGGATCCTATACAATGCTTATACTATAAAGATGGGGGTTTTTTTTTAATAAAATGTTATCAAGAACTTTGGAATTTCAGTTCTAAAGTCCTCCCAGATTCCCTGCCTAGTCAGTTGCCTGACAAAGGCCACTGTGATATTGGTACAGGTAAGTCAGAAGCTTGCAGAAACAACACAGTAATTTGCTTGCAAGTTCTAATGTGGCATTAGAACAGATTAAGGAATGCCATCAAGAGGAGGTGTGCCAGGCACATAGCAAGAAGATTTCAGAAGTCAGGAGAAACCACAGGCTCAAAAGTGTGTTTTATTGGGTGAATGAAATTATCCCCTCTTCCCTGCAAACACATGCATACCAGCATAATATTAGAAAGTGCCAGTTGAATAAAACTGATGTTGTGATTGCTTTCTTATAACTTTGGTTTTCTGCTTCATTCCAGATAAACCGAAAAGAAAAATTAATGTGCAGAAGAAACCCATTTAAGATTTTTGAATATTTACAACTCTGTTTAGAAGAGGTAAGTTTCATATGATACTGAGTAATCTTTCATTCCTGATGTAAAATATTATGAATGTTGTGAATGTTTTATTATGAATGTCATAACGTTTACCTTTACCTTTTAATGCCTTCAGAGCTCAGACATGTCTGTTAGGGAACTTTATAACATGGCAATAGGGTATTTCAACAGATTGGGCTGACAAATCGCATTCACACAGAGTGATTCAGTAGGGGAATCTCATTGGAAGCACAAGACCTAAAATACACAATGAATGCATGGGAGAATAGCAGAGGTTATGGTACAGCTGCATAAATGGCAGACAGTGAGTAAATGACTTGATCTTACACATGTTTCAGAAATATTATGGGGAATGTTAAGTTAAGCAAAAATGCAACGGTTTTAAGTTTCAGGCTGCCAGTGCAAAGTATTGCAAGGCCTCAGTAAACTGCAGAGGGGTGTATTCAAATGCCAGGAAATATCAAGGGTGGTGGGCTAAGCAATGTGGGTTGTAGGGATGGGCACAAGGATTAGAAGAGGAAAAGAAAACAAGGATCATACTCTGAGCCACAGACACACACCAAGGAAAAGAAAAGGGAAAACAGATGGGGAACTTGTAGGGGGAAAAATGTTCCCAAAGAGAAATTCAGAAGCAGCAGAAGTTACCTGTCGCTCATCTTTTAGCCTGTCCAGAAGAGAAAGTGTGAAGTGTTGAGACTCTGGCTGGAGCAATGTGAAGGAAAGGGAAATCAGTCTGACATGGATCTAGACCAAACCTAGGAATTCGGGAGGAAAAGATAAATTGATGGGAGTCTCCGGCAGGCAGCTTCAGGGACCAATGGAAACAGCACAGAAACCTGCACCGGAATGACAGAAATATAGCAATCCTGTGCATATGTATAGGATTCTCAGTGCGGTCTGTTTAAATGACTGTTCATGGTGTGTCCGCCCTCTTCTTAACTGGTTCTGACCTGCAAGCAGCTTTGCTCGTCTGGCTGGTCCTTATGATGGCCCTAATCTGGCAAAAGGAACAAAGTATTGAAGGGCAGTTAGATGGCTAAGGTGTCTGCTTATCTAGTACAGTGGTGCCTCGCAAGACGAGCGCTTCATTTTACAACGAAATCACGTAACGACGCCATTTTTGCGATCGCAAAAGCGATCACAAAACGATGTTTCCTATGGGTTTTTTTCGCTTTGCGATGATCGGTTCCCTGCTTCGCTAACCGATTATCGCAAAACGACGATTTTCCTACAGCTGATCAGCGGTTTCAAAATGGCCGCCGGGTTAAAAAAAAAATGGCCACTTGCTGTTTTCTGGGATGGATTCCTCGCTGCACGGGCAGCGAAAACAGCTGCGCTATGGAGGATCTTTGCTGGACGGTGAGTTTCAAGCCCATAGGAACGCATTAATCAGGTTTTAATGCGTTTCTATGGGCTTTTTAAAATCGCTTTACGATGTTTTCGTTCTACAGCGATTTCGCTGGAACGAATTAACATTGTAATGCGAGGCAGAACTGTACTGGGAGGCCTCTAAGGATGCTTTGCCATAAACAGCTCTTTGCCTTAAAGGTAATCAAGCCTAATATTCCACTCTCTACATCCCAAGAGTGGTCTCCATTGATTATTTGGAGTTATATCTTCCATCAGTTTCCATGTCAGGTACATTTATATAATAACCTGACTGGTGGGGGTTTATTTTTCTTCTTTGCCAATTGCTCCTTTCTGCTTTGGGACTATGGTATCCATAGCAGCCTCCCTTCTTCCAAACAGGTTCCCTGCCTTAACCAGTATCTCTCCTTGCACATACCATGTATTTAAAGCCTTTCGCAAATATAAGGCATTGTACAAGTGTTGTATAAACCTAGCCAGCTTAGAAATAAACTCCCCTGATATCCCCACCCTTTCTAGTCCATGCCTTGTATTTAACAACATCAGTTTTCTTACCCTTTTTTTAAAAAACCCCTCCCCTACATCTCTTTCGCCCACGTGCTTTGGCCTAACGCCAAATAACCTACTTTTGTATGCTGTTTTTTAAAGGGCTATCTATACATCCTGCTTCATTTCATTCTGGGTTATTGATGTCATGGGCTAGCATGGCCAGTGAAAGCAACATCCTGGCAAAGGACCCTATTTCAGAAGATTTCAGATCATTTCACTGTGGTCAGTTCCCCCTTTTCAATGGAATTTAACTCAATAGAGTACCTGCAGGATTCTTCTTACTGTTCAGAAATAACTACACACAATGATATATGTCTGCTGAGGAGTAAGGAATTATAGCTAAATGTGGTAGCCCATTCTCGTTGTTAAACAAATTGCTAGTACAATGCTGACTTTAGATGTGATGTTTTGCAAGCAAACATCTTGTTAATTTCATTCCCCACCCTTTTCCCTTTCATTCTATGCAAAACATGTCCTTATTGGTATTCTATAGCACATATAACATGCATATTTGTATTTTCTGTTTTTTTAAGGCTTTTTTCTTGGTTTATGCTCTGGGATGCTTAAGTATCTGTTACAATGAGGTAAGTAAGGTATAGTCTGTGTGCAAATACATTTAGTTGTGCTTTTTAGTGAATGATGTGTTCCTTTGTGGATTGCTTGATAGCATGTCACAGTTGACACTTTATAATCATTTCTGAGGCAACCTCTGCCCAGTTTTCAAGAGCTGGGTAGCATTCCCATTCCTAGTAATCTTATATCCCCTTTGTGTAACTGGACAATCCTCCACTAGTTATATGTTTCCGTAGAATTCAGCATGCATAGGCTGAAAGCAATTGATTTCAGTGCACTTCAATGGGTGTAACAGCACACAGGAATAACACAATTGTTTCTGTATGTTAGTGTGGCAGTGTAGTGTATCCCTAAGCAGACTGGTTGATTGTAAACCGCCCAGGGTAATGCTTTTGCACTAACAGAGTGGTATACAAAATAAATAAATAAATGAAATGAATTGTGTGCAAATTTTAATTGGTGTAAAAGGCTTTTTAAAAATGTGCCATAAAGTTTTCCCTAAGAGTAGACCCAGCAGAATTTTATAACTCCTTTCAGAAAGTTTTGGTAGCAATAACTAAGCTGCAGCTAATGGTTTTTATATTTTCCCTCATAGGACAGACTTCATAGTTGACCCATGTCCTGTTTGTGTGTTTCCATAACTATAGTGGAATAACATCTTCTGGAGTAGCTATGGTTGTTGACTGCTGTCAACTTTATTTATTGCATTTCCTCTAACTCCCTTTCCATTAAAAAAAAGACACAGGCAGCTGACATATATAATTAAAACCAATTTAAAACAGGCTGAACAATAAAACCATAATCAAAGCAAGTAAAGTCATCAAGAAGTCAATAAAATATTTAAAAGCAGTAGACTACAGTGTGCACTGTAATTATATCAAGACAACTGAGTAGACATGGTCTAGAGGGGCGGGGTATAAATTTAATAAATAAATAAATAAATTGTGTTTTAGGCACCTTTATCTATCCTCAAACTCTGGGAGGTTTTCAGTGAAGCGCAACCCAACTTTAAGGCAACGTACATGGCATATCACTACTTTCGCTCAAAAGGATGGGTCCCTAAAGTTGGGCTGAAATATGGAACTGATCTCTGTGAGTTTTCTTATTTTATTATTTGTATCCTACGGTGTACTTGTCCTTTGCAAGGGAGGCCTGGCTTATATAGTGCCGGGACGGCAGAGTGAAGGGTGGGCCGGGGGGCACATGTCTCATTGGTATCACTCATATCAGCCTGCAGGAAGTTTTGATGAGCTTATCTGCAGGCTGTCTCAGCAACAGACACCAAAGCAACAGATGAGGTTTACCCAGCTGGCAATAAGTACAGCAAGCCACATGCTGACTTTCAGTAACAAAACAGGGGTAGGCAAATGATGAGAACAGCTGGAGTTCTTTCCGAGTTGGCCCAGCCTCTCCTAGAGAGCAAATGGTTTTGTTTGCCTGGTGTCCCTCTTAAATAAACTGTTCTCTGGGTTCTTTGGGAGGAGTGTTTCTGTTTCATTTTGAAATTTGCAGCATTTTCACTTGGGTTGAGTCGGCTTAGATGCTGAGTACCCTTGTCACGTCTTCCCTGCTTTTGTTGATGGTTTTAAATAATGTATGTTTAGATTGCAGTAGCTTTTCACATGCTTAATTTATGACTTGCTGTCATCAGTGTGAGTGCAAAGCTTTTTATCTTAGGCCCGGAAGAGACGGTTGGTGTCATTCCTTATTGGTATGATGGAGTGTACTTAAAATTCAAACGTATCTACGATCCCTATTTTGTTCATCTTGTCCTGTTGCCCTTACAGCCTTTGAGCAGGGTCAGTAAAGAAGCCCCCACAATCATTCTTATGGATAAATCCTAAATGGAATTTTAAATTTCATGTATGTTCTGATCACATCGTTTTTGAGAGAAGCAAACAGAGCAAGATAATCATTAGCCTCAAAATGAAACAAAATCTTATCACCTCCCCCCATGTACAAAAGCAGATGAAGAACATGTGGATTTTAATGAAGTGCAACATTACAGGCAGTGAATCTTCTCCAACAGAGGATCATTTCCTTTGTCTCTCAATCTGTGGTCCTAAACCAATGGCCCACATTCTGTATAGTACCTGCTTGAGCTTCTGCTGAGCAGAAAATTCCACCAGTGTAGTAATGCGAATTCATGCTGCTTGCAGAAGCGGTGCCATTTGGGGAGCAGGGGTTGTGTCATGGAAATCACCACGGGCACAATAGTACCACGTTTGCAATTGCCGTACTTGCCATGTTACTCTGCTGCCAGGAGTTTGTGCTCAGCGAAAGATTGCAGGATACTGACCAATACTGAAAAATAACTTGACAACATTAATTCCAGTACATTGGTTTTATGCATTGCACACAATCTTCACTATATGCGAGTTAGTGGTTCCTTGTAGTGCTCAGAATCTGTGCCTGTCCACATTCAGTCTTCTCGGTGTAAAACTGGTGTACTTCTGTTCAGCTCTCTTTAGAGTAGTTAGCTCTGCTAGTTCTGTTACAGGGCTTCATTATGAAAGATTGTTGGAAGGGATTAAGACTGGGTTTAACCCATTTTCCTTGCCAGTTCTACACTTCTTATACACTACGTGGGCTGACTAAATTGGGGTGTGTGTGTTTGTTTCCTGGTTTTCTTATTTACAGTGGTATTGTGAAAGTAATCGTGAATGGCTTTATTCCCAAGTACCAAAAATAATTTGTATTTATTATATCTATTGTGGATAAAATAACAACTCTTATTATACTGTTGTTTAGATTGTCTAAGCCAGGTAATGGAAAAGCCATAAGCCCTGTCCTAATATGATAACAAGGAAAGCATGACATTTCTAGTAAGTGTTTGTTTCTTTTTTTTTTCCTATTGCAGTGTTGTATCGAAAAGGTCCTCCTTTTTACCATGCCAGGTACGACATTCCAGATGTGACACTTCATTTTCATTAATTAATGAAATATATCAATTTCCAATTTGTTTGGGCTTCCTTCCATAATTCAGAAAATATCTTTGGATTGTTGGCATTGAGAGAAACAGTATCCTGGTGAGAAAGCACCCAGAAGCTGCACGTCTTTGACATACACACTGGAGCACAAACAAGCTTGCTTCTATCTTTTTCCAGATTATTTCTCCGGAGTTTTCTGGAAAGCTTGGAAAGTAGTACTTTCTAACCAAGAGCAATTCATGTTGTCTCTCAAACACTCTATTTAAAAAGTTATAACTGCTTTAATTAGCAGTTCACAAGGGAAAGCTGAGAAATATGAAAATGCACTCAACAGCTTAGATTTCCACCTGATTTGGGAGCGCGGGAGGGTTGTTCTAGAAAGACTGTCAATTTTTCAAGTATTCTTTGTACTACCTTCCTTAGTATATTTAACAAGCCACAACCATTTTTTAAAAAATCATACATTGGGTTTGTTTTCCAGTTATTCTGTGATTGTTGAATTAGTTGATGATAACTTTGAAGGCTCACTGCGCAGACCTCTCAGCTGGAAGTCTTTGTCTGGGCTGAACAGAACCACAGCAAATGTTTCTAAGGTAATTAATTTTTTAAAATGAAGCATTGCAGACTCTCAGTGAAAAAATAGTATGCAATAAAGTGTACTAATGCTGATGTACTAAGGCTACAGTAAGGAGACCCAAATGTATCGATAAAGGGGGAAATGTCCCATAATTTGATTTAATAAAACATTTTCTAAGTGTGCATTTGTCCCTCATTATCACTGGAAAGAGCCCGTATGTATGGTTTTCCCATTTTGAGATATTTCTCTGGATGCCAGGTGTTTGAATAGGCAATTCTTATATTCTGGTCTCTCTGTGCCTTAGCCTTTCTTATGAGAGCCAAAGTTAAAAAGGCACATTTCATGTTTCGGAAACAAGGATAACAAATGCCCAGTGCCAGGCTTGACAGAGACCAAGCCTTGACAACTGTCCATTTTAGCACTTTTCCAGGAATTGAGTTGGCTCAGATTGCTTGCAGCTCAGTTCTCTGCCTTTTGGCAAACGGCTATCTGCATATCTTGGAGAAGCATTTTTTTTAAACAAAGTAACATGATTGGGGGAAACATATTGATTTGACCATCACTTAGCATTTTCATTTGATTTAGTTACAGCATTATTTTTTCAAGTGGGCGTGTAATCTAGGAAGATGACTTATCTAGAAGGAAGCAACACCATTCCTGTACCTCTAGATCAGGCTTGTCCAACCTGCGGCCCGAGGGCTGCATGTGGCCCAGGTCGGCTCATAATGCGGCCCAGTGCAATTTTTTATTTTTAAAGAAATTTCAAAGTTTCAAGTTACACTGCCGGCACTTGCAGCCGGAATGCAGCTGGGGCACGTCACAACGGTGGGGGGGAGAGAAGGAGAAAGGAGCGGGAGGGGAGAGGGGGCCTGCGTGACTGCATTGCGCCGACCCCGTCAATAGGTGGACCCCCTCCCGGCCCCATAAAGCCACCGGAGTCGGAGCTGGCAGCCTCTGCTGTCTGAGATCACAGCTGCAGGCAAGCGCGCTTGGAGTGGGGCTACGGAGAACGGCTAGGGCTGCCCTCCCATGCAGCTCAAACCAAATTTATGTGCGGCCCAAACCAAATTTTCATCTTCTAATGTGGCCCAGGGAAGGTGAAAGGTTGGACACCCCTGCTCTAGATCAAGGATGGGGAGCCTCAGACTGTGGGAACAAAGAGGCATCCTGGGCTCCCATTTGCTCTTCCTTTTTCCCAGCTTTCCTACTGAACCCCCTCCCCCCAATATTTAGATGTGTCTCCTAAGTCTTAGTTACTGCCAGTAAGATGTTTAAGTTAAACCATGCAGATGTTTTTGTCCCTCTTTTTGCTCCACCTCCACTCACACCCCCAAAAAATGATCTCTGAAAAGGCATTCAGCTCATGGGCTGCAAAAATTTCCTATATTTAAAGATTATGCTATAAATAATGCCTTCAGATGAACTGCATGCTTGCACACACGTTCATAAATGCCTGCTGATAACATACCTCCTTTTGCTCTCAGGAACTCATGTTCTGTTACTTGATCAAACCATCTGATATGACTGAAAAAGAAATGCTCTCACCAGAATGTCTCAGAAGAATTAAAGTTCAGGTATGCAAGTTGTTCTTTGATTTCGTTTCTTATCTGAAGTCAACGACTGCCTCCAGACATCCAAACCTTTGGGTAGTTGGATTAATACCTTAGGTGATATTGTTTGAAACGTCCCTAATTTGGTACATCTAGATTCCAACTCTAGGTGTGTCAAACATAGATGGCTATCTGGGTTGAGAACAAAGATGCGGTTGAGTGTGGCATCTTTTATTCTTGACTGTATCTGAATTATTATTTGAACATTCATGAGCAGTTCCCCAAGGGCTAATTCATCAAGCAGCCCTACATAATTTCCTTTACCCACATGATTATTTCCTATTTAGGTTGCAAGAATGCTGTGGAATCTACATACATTAAAGTGCCTTCCATGCCGCTCCAGTAGCAGGTGGCTTGGCTTTGAAGGCATCATACAAAAAGTAACATTTCTGGCAGTCAAAACCCTGGAGAACATTCAGACATTATAGCTGTGGTATGGAGCATCTCATTCCCTGCTCTCATGGGGTTTTTGGCTTATACAGTTTAAACTGCAGGCCACCATGCCGTACAGTAGAATCCTTGTGAAATGAGTTTATTAGTATAAAAGGAGAAGATAAATAATTGTTCAGCATATACCCGAATGCCCAGGTGTACTGACGAGAGCTTTGTCAGTATCATGAGCCACTGTAAAGCATTCATCGAAAGCTGAACCTTTGTACAAGAACAACAAAGACTATCATTTAAGCATGAAGAGGATGACAGAGAAAAAACAGAGTGGGCAAGAATTTAGGAAAACCTGAAAAGCCAAGAAAATGGCCCTAGGCATGCTCTTGTGGTGAACTTGTACATTAATGAATTATTGCCCTTTATCACCAAGGTATGTCAAAAGATGAACTTTCACTAAAGCAAAGCTGCCTCATGAAAACTGGGAATAAGCGAAAATGTCCTTTTTCAATTATAAGTTCTTGGACTTTAATACTTAGTGGCTTTCCCTTCCAGGAACTGATTCTAAGTCGTTGGGTCGCATCCTCTGAGCGCAGTGACCAAGAAGAGCTGTGAGAAAATGGATCAGATAATTGCAAGATACTGAAATACCTGCAATAAGCTAATTTTTATTGCATTGTTCTTTTTGTTTCAAACGTAGCAGTGTTTGGTGCCTGTTATCAAGTCTGTTAAATAAAACGAAACAAGTGCTCTTTTGTAATTAAAACTGGATGGATTCTGACATTGGTATTGAGCAGTGCTGTGTTTTTTGTGCAGAAAAGGAGAACATCAAATTTCTGTTCTAAACCTAGCACAAACTGGTATTTCTGTTAACTTTTAGCAGAACATTGGTAGTGTCCTACAGAAGGCCTTAGCTCCATAATACAACAGTGGTTGCTTCTACACTAGCACTCATTTCTCACAAAGTACAGATGAGAAGACTGGGCCTGCTCTGGATGCATCACAGGTTTGAAATTTGCAGATTGCTAATGTTTGGACTTAACTTGGTTTATAGATTGAGCAATTCTGTTCCTGTATATGTAGATGTAAATTCCAGTGGCTGAAATCCATTTGGAAAGCAAGTGGAATAACATTCATTCACTTCTAGCTGGCAATTAATGAGTTGTTGCAGGTATTCTCAGGGGTCTGCATGTTCTCTGGCTTGGTGCATGCTCAAGAATCTCAGCAGCAATTCATTAATTGTTGGCCAGAAGGCACAAGCTCTCCTGTTTGCCTTCTGCAAGTGTTAACTAAGCAATAGGATTTTGCTCACTGAATCCATGGGTCTTATACATGAGTAAATGTGCATAAGATTTTAGCCTTGGTTAAAACATTTATATTTAACTCAAAAATATATCCAGAATATAGCATTTAAAATTTTCGAACTGCCAGCCTCTATAGTGATTGTAGTTTATTAAATATTGTACTGGAATGTAAAGAATTTCATCCCAAGGCAGTCAGTGACCACACATAACGGCTGGATCCAACATCTGCTGTTGTTGGCAGGAGGAGTAGACTTTATGGACAGTCCTGCCAAGGAAAGCAGAAAAAGGGACTTTCCCATTCCTCCTGCTGCTCTTTGTGCTTGTAATGGATTGGTGGAGGGGGGAAGGGTGTCCTGAAGGGAGATATATGAGAATTGGTGAAAATTGTTTTCCTCTACCACCCATTCTACTGCCAGGAGGTATCTTCTGCTGTACCCCAATCCTGTCTTGTGAATGGAAGGTCTGTGCCTAGCTAGGAACCAAGCCAACAGCTTTATGTAATAGTAGATGCCATGGTTTAGAAGGCTAGAAGCAAACTCAAGGTTCTGCAGTCTCACAGATGACTGAGAATAATCCTCATCAGTCTCCACTTCCTTACAAACAAACATATATTAAACCATGTACGAGTCCCAGCATCTCTTTGTCCATGAGAGAGGATAGGAACAAAAAGCACAAATGCTTGAACCTGTTGATCTTACTTTCATTCATTATCTGTGAGTGCTTAATTATGAAGTCAAATGGCCCACAGTGGAAGTGCCTCCTTCTTGACTAGGGTGATCAACAGTATAGAAGCCATTCTTGCATATTTCTTTATAGATAGTGATATATTTGGAAGCTTTTCTTGTACGTGGAATCACAAATTTCTCTGTAAATTCACTTTTATTCATTGGCTGCTGCTTTTGGGCACTCAGCACACAGTTAATAAACATTAGTGCATACGTGTAACAATTGTGGAGATGTTCATCGTACCTGTTGAACAGATAAGAAGAAAGATGCTTAAGAAATCAGTGCTATGTGTAATTATTAAACGTTTTACAGTATTAATGTTTAGTACAGGCCTGTCTTTAGGTAGCATTGTATGGATGGGAGTAGGATTCATAAGTCAAGAAAGCATAATGCAAAAGGGGAAAAAGTGGAAAGGGAGAAGGAAAAAGAAAACTGAGGCATTCATCTTTGAGTGAAATTCTTTCTATGATCAGTTGGAATGGAAACAACTCAGAGAGAAAGAGCCCAAAACTGCTGATATCTCAGCTGAGCTGATGCAGTGACCTATCTCTCTTCTTTCCCTATCTCTCCCTGCAGGAAGACAGCTGTGGGAGAAGGCAGGCCTGATCAACCAAGATTCACAGCAGGGCTGCTGGTAGCCCACCTTTCTTTCCCTGTTGGATGAGGGAAGCTGGCATACAGAATGCAAAAATATGTATATAACAAAGTATGACAGCACTTCTGGGCCATGCAAACACACCAGCAGAACATAATCTATGCAAAGTGCTTTTCTTTTTTCAAAGAGATTGTAAAATGACTAGATTGATAGTTTTCCTGTTTATGTACACCATCAGCTGCTAAAGTTGCATCTGAAAAATAGCTGAAATGTACCTGTTAAACGTCCCGGACAACCCAGATAGTGCGGTTGCTGACCTTGAACCAAACATCCTGGAGAGTGAAGTCAAGCAGGCCTTAGAAAGCATAGCTAACAACAAGGTGATGACATTCCAGTTGAACTATTTAAAATCTTAAAAGATGACACCGTTAAGGTGCCACACTCCATATGCCGGGAAGTTTGGAAAACTTAGCAGTGGCCAGAGGATTGGAAAAGATCAGTCTGTATCCCAATCCCAAAGAAGGGCAGTGCCAAAGAATGCTCCAACTACCATACAATTGCACTCATTTCACACGCTGGCAAGGTTATGCTCAAAATCCTCCAAGGTAGGCTTCAGCAGTATGTGGACCGAGAACTCCCAGAAATACAAGCTGGATTTCAAAGGGACAGAGGAACTCGAGACCAAATTGCTAACATGCGCTGGATTATGGAGAAAGCAAGAGAGTTCCAGAAAAACATCTACTTCTGCTTCATTGACTACGCAAAAGCCTTTGACAGTGTGGACCACAACAAACTATGACAAGTTCTTAAAGAAATGGGAGTGCCTGACTACCTTATCCATCTCCTGAGAAATCTATACGTGGGACAGGAAGCAACAGTTAGAACTGGATATGGAACAACTGATTGGTTCAAAA